CCAGAGGCACAAATCAACAACAAATGAGAAGTAATTACTAGGGGTTGGAAGTTGACCATAACAGGAGATTCAGGACTTAGACTTTTTAGGGAAAACAAGGGAGGACCGGAAGCAGTCATGAAAGAGGAAGAACACCACGTACAGGCAGTGAAGCATGAGGGCTGTGGGAGAAAAACAGCCAGCCCTTGACAGGACTTCACAGAAGACAGTGTTCTCAGACAGGTTACAAGTTCTCATGAAACTAAGAAGTTCAGAGATACCTACAACGTATGGGGGTAGGAAACAGCTGATTTTGCTGATGATGGACTGTAAGCCGCAGAGGGTACAGTGACAGGGTTTTAAGAGGTGGGAAAGGAGGAGTAGAAGCAGGAACAGAAAGGAGAAAGAGGCAGTTGCAGAGCCACATGCAGAGTGTGGGAGATGAGGGGTTCCCTGATGTCCGGGACTACTCCTGATGACTGGAATAAAAAGGAATACAGTACATAAGATACTGTTTTAGAAAATTATTCCTCATGAATGGTTATTTCATGAGACAAAAGGGGGCCCAGACCTGGAATCCTCATCTTTAATCAGTGGATTTTATCTCGGTTCTAGATATGGCATGTTTCTCTGTTCCACCTTATGTTCTCTCTATCCTTATGCTATTTAATTCCTTACAGTATACTCTGAATTGAATAAAAGGTAGGTAAGAGCAGAAAGAGAGCAGATGATCTGCGCATCATTATCACTCCTTATGAACAACTCTGGTAAATGGCTGCAGACAAAGCAGGCTGGTTAAAATGAACATTTTCAATTATCTGTTTATTCAAACTAGATAACTAGAAATCTTCTATACTAATATTCATTCTACCACTGTTTATTATATATTAACTTAATATAAACAACAGCAACATGTACTAGACTATCCTAGGAAAGGATGACCTTTATTATTTTAATAAAATAAAACTTAATAATATTAAAATACAGGAAAAAAGTTATGGGTAGGGAGATGAAAGCAAGGGACATTTTTCAATGGCTGGAGAAGAAGAATAAGTAAGGGCTTCAGAGAGAGCATATTAGCTGGGCCCTTACAAGTAAGAACTATTTATTCAAATAAAAGAAACTAAAATTCTTTTGTTGTTATTACCTTTGCTTTACTATATTAAAGATGGCTGAGTAAGAAAAGGGAGGGAAAAGACAAGAGACAGAGGAGAGAAGAGAAAACGGAGATAAGGGATCCACAGCTGAGAACTAAGAAATGTATTTGCTGTTCACTGCTTACCCTTAACTTACACTTTTGGGAAAGATGAGTTACTAAATTGATATTCTACCTGTATACAACTTTTTAGACATTTACATATATCTTTGGCAATTAATCTTTGTCCTTTCGTAAATCAGATCTTTTCTTCTCCTTCCTTCCTGTTATCTGTCTTCTTTATCAAGATCATATTCACTCATTTTTTTTATGTTGTGGAGGTGGAGAGTGACACTGTTTCATGGACCTACCAAACCAGAATGATATCAACTATCTGATGAATCACCAATAAGAAAATGAGTTACTTGGATGTGTACACTGTAACGGTCTCAGTAAAGCAATAAACAGTATATGATAAGTTCGAGGGGTTTTTACTTCAGAGGGACAGGAACCTTACCTAGAACCTGATGCCTGTGCTAATTAATTACATTCTGTCAGCCTCTCCAGATGTACAATCAGCCCTTCTCTCCCTTGCTGTGTGCCTCAGAAAGCAAACCTCAACAAAACACATTGAGACCAATCTTTTTCCCTCTGGCTTCAAGATAGATTTGGCCAGTAGGTAACAACTGGCAAAAAATCAGAAGGCAGTAAAAGAGCTGGAGTGTTTATTCTCCTTTGCTCCCTCCCTGCTGGCCACTGCTGCTCAGGTAGAAGCTATGCTCTTTTGTGCAGCAACACGGCCACTGTCATAGCCCATCATGCAACCGGTTCTCTGGTTCCAGGAGTCCTGCTCTCTTCCTTTGCCCTGGAAGTCTAGGGGCACAGCTGTTTTCTGCTGTTTCTCATTTATGGCACTTCACACTCTTTGGTGGGTTCCTTATGTTGTCCACATCTCAGTCAATAGACTCTTTATTAGCCTCTTTCAATTAGTCCCCTGACATGCCATTTATTACCTGCTAGTTGCTAGACTGTACCCCTTCTGGGTGATTTTGGAGGCCAGGTCTGCACAATCCAATCTGTCCTCGTTCCAAATTACTCAACTCAGTATCTATTTCACAATTCCTTAGTGAAAACCCACTCCTATCTTGTTGAAGTTGCATCTTCATGACATCTGGATATCATTATGTTGCAAGCAGCCCTTTAGACTTACAGGTACACTGCAGAGATAATTTGGGTTCTGTTCCAGACCAACGCAATAAAGTGAGACAAATCAATTTTTTGGTTTGCCACCAGATATAAGTTATGTTTACATTATACTATACTCTATTGACTGTGCAATAGCATTATATCTAAAAAAAATGTACATATCTTAAGATACTTTATTACCAAATAATGCTAGCCATCATCTGAGCTTTCAGTGATCACAATCTGTTGGCTGGTGGAGGATCTTGCCTCCACGTGGATGGCTGCTGACTGATCAGGGTGGTGGGTGCTGAAGGATGGGGTGGCTCCGGCAATGTCTTAAAATAAGACAACAGTGAAATTTGCCTCATCAATGGACTCTTCCTTTCTCTAACAATTTCTCTGTAGCATCTGATGCTGTTTGGTACCTTTATATCCACAGTGGACCCTCTTTTAAAACTGGGGTCAGCCCTTTCAGAGACCACCACTGTTTAGCCACTAAGTTTATGTCATATTCTAAATCCCGTGTAGCCATTTCTATAATCTTCACGGCATCTTCCCCCAGGAGCAGACTTCATCTCAAGAAGCCACTTTCTTTGCTCATCCCTAAGAAGCTACTCTTCATGCACCCAGGTTTTATCATGAGATTGCAGCAATTCAGTCCCATCTTCAGGCTCCACTTCCAGGTCTCGTTCTCTTGATATTTCTACGATATCCACAGTTGTTTCCTCCTCTGAAGTCTTGAATCCCTCAGAGTCTTCCATGAAGGTTAGACTCAACTTGTCCCAAACTTCTGTTAATGTGGCTATTTTGACCTTTTGCCATGAATCACAAGTGTTCTTGTCTTGTTTTGTTTTGTTTGTTTGAGACAGTGGGAGGGTGCAAGTGAAGGAGGGACAGAGACAAAGAGAGAAAGGGACGGAGGGGATGAGAGAGGGGTGAAGGGGGAGAGAGAGGGAGGGGGAGAGAGAGCATGAGAGCAAGCGCAGTGGGGCTCACCCAGCCAATAACCAGTTTTCTCACTGGCATCTAGAATGATGAATCTTTTCCAGAAGATTTCCAATATACTTTGCACAAATCCATCTTTGGCAACTGCAGACTTATGAAATGTATTCTTTCTCTTTCTTTTTTCCTTTCTTTTTTTTAAGAAATGTATTTCTTAAAGAACTTATTCGTGAAGGCTGAAATGACTCCATGATCCATGGGCTGCAGAACGAATGCTGTGTTAGCAGGCATGAAAACATGAATCTTGTTATACGTCCCCATCGGGCCTCGTGGGTGACCAGGCACATTGTCAGTGAGCGGTCATATTCTGAAAGGAATCTTCTTTCCTGAGCAGCTCTCAACAGTGGGCTTAAAATATTCAGGAAACCACATTGTAAACAGATGTGCTGTCACCTAGGCTTGTTCCCTTTCTAGAGCACAGCCAGAGTGGATATAGCATGATGCTTATGGGCCTTGGGGTTACAGAATGGTAAACGGGCATTGGCTTCAACGTCAAGTCGCCAGCTGCACGAGCCCGACGAGAGAGTCCGCCTGTCCTTGGGAGCTGTGAGGCCAGGAGCGACTTCTCCTCTCCAGCTATGAAAGTGCCAGACAGCCTCTTCTTCCCATAGAAAGCTGCTTCCTCCACACTGAAAACCTGTGTGTGTTGCAGCCACCTTCAAGAATGATCCCAGCTCGATCTTCTAGAGAACTTGCTACAGCTTTTGCTGCAGCGCCTGCTGCTTCACCTTGTACTTTATGTTCTGGAGATAGCTGCTTTCCTTCCTTAAATCTCATGAACCAACCTCTGCTAGCTTCCAAGTTTTCTTCTGCAGCTTCCTCACCTCCCACAGAATTGAAGAGAGTTAGGGCCTTGGTCTGGAGACGCTGGCTGAAGGGAATGTAACGGCTGGTTTGACCCTCTGTCCAGACCACTGAAACTTTCACTGTATCAGCAATAAGGGTGTTTCACTTTCTTATCATGTGTGTGTTCACTGGAGGAGCACCCTTAATTTCCTCCAACAACTTTTCCTTTGCATTCATAACTTGGCTAACTGTTTAGGGCATGAGGCTTAGCATTCAGCCTCACTTGGCATTCAACATACCTTCCTCACTAGGCTTAATCATTACTAAGTTTTCATTTAAAGTGTGACATATGCAAGTCTTCCTCTCACTTGAACACTCAGAGGTCACTGTTAGCTTATTAACTGGCCTATTTCAATACTGTCCTGTCTCAGGGAACAGAGTCCAGAGAAGAGGGAGACGGATGGGAAAAGCCAGTCCAGTCAGTGCAGCAGTCAGAATACATACATTTATCAATTAAGTTCTCCATCTTATGTGAGTGTAGTTCATGATGCCTCGAAACAATCACAATGGTAACTTCAAAGATCACTGATCACAGATCACCGTAACAAATAATAATGAAAATGTCTGAATGATAATTACCAAAACGTGACACAGAAACACAAAGTGAGCAAATGTTGTTGGAGATACAGCACCGATAGACTTGCTCAAGCCAGGATAGCGACAAACACTCAATTTTTAAAATGTGGTACTGCTAAGTTCATTAGAGCAAAGCTCAATAAAAGAAGTTATGCCCATACTTCATCTACATGCAGTCTGTTTCCATAAATAGCACATATCAACATACAAATCAAAACTAGATTTCAAGAATTTGCTCAGAAGGAAAAGTGGCTTCTCTCAGTAACATCCATCTCACCTCCTTCTCCCTGTTGAGCAGCACGAGCTGGCTGTCTGTGAGGATGCAGTATTTCCGCTCCCACGTGGTCGCTTCTGTGTAGGGTGACTGGCCACAAGACAGACGATGGGTCTGTGGCCCCTTTACATCTGAGTGACAAGTATGAAAAAACCAAAGTGAGAAAGCATTATCGTGCTTACTTAGGTAGACTAGTATTTCAAGTGTAAGGTTCTTCAAAATCAAATTAAATACAGAGTTTCAAACATGAACGTAAACGGTAAATTGAAAACTTAACTTCCTCTTAATAAAAACCATTCTATACGGAGGGGGAAATTGGCCCTTTAGTCTGCAGGAAAGAAGGCTGAAACACTAGGAAGATTTGTTAGCATGAACTTGACACAGTCATCACCACTGTACATGTACCAAAACAATGGGAAGTTGCTTCAGAGCTAACATCATTCAAAATAAAGAGGTGGGGGATGGCTCAGAGACAAGAACAGATGATAGAACCTCTAATCTTTAGGAAGAAATGGTGTTGCATCTACAATGCTGACCCCATTACAGAGAGGGTAGTTATTAGCCACTGGTATCTTCTAAATGGCTTTATTTCTAGTCAAGCATGAGAATTACAAAAAGATTTAAACTATAGCATCATATTACCACTAGAGGCCAGTAAGATCTTAAAAACAAAGAGCGATTTCTGCAAGGAAAGATCTAAAATGTTACTGCCATGTGTCTTTAGAGGTGGAGGTACCTATCTGAGCTAAATGTTTAACTCTTCTCAAATGTCTTTTTTTTTTTTTTTTTTAAATATTTTTATTTATTTCTAGGAGAGAGAGAGAGAGAGAGACAGCATGAGCAGGGGAGGGTCAGAGAGAGAGGGAGACATAGACTCTGAAACAGGCTCCAGGCTCTGAGCTGGCAGTCAGCACAGAGCCCGACGCGGGGCTCGAACCCACGAACCGCGAGATCATGACCTAAGCGAAAGTCGGACGCTTAACCGACTAAGCCACCCAGGCGCCCCACTCTTCTCAAATGTCTTATTTCCCTATTAAATACCAAGTGGTTATGGTTACTTTAAAATTTTTTGATACGAACTGTTCGCTCATTTGGGCTGCTATAAAACATAGAATACGTCTTAATCAAAAGTACACATTAGATCCATTAAATAAGGCTTTTATGACAGTCGAATATTAAAAGTTCTTTAGCCAACGAAGGACTAATTCCTGTCAGGATTATACTGAAGAGATCATTTTAAATGCATTATTTATTACTAGTTAGTTATTTTGCTAGAGGAGCATCTCAAACTGGAGAAATCAGAAAACAAAACACACATGAGGGCAGGAGAGTTTTAAGTCAAAAATAAACACATTTTACCTATTACATGAATGTTTTCATTACTATAATTTTCTACAGACATTTTTATGGGTTTTTTTATGTTTATTTTTCAAAGAGAGAGAGTGAGAGAGCAGGGGAGGGGCAGAGAGAAGGAGAGAGAGGATCTGAAGAAGGCTCCATACTGACAGCAGAGCATAATATGGGGCTCGAACCCACAAACCACGAGGTCATGACCTGAGCCAGAGTCGGATGCTTACGCAACTGAACCACAGGAGCCCCAAGAATTCTTTTTTAAGGACAGAGCTCAAGCCAGGGAGAGGGACAGGAGGGGGCAGAGAGAGACAAAGAGCAGAGAGAATCTTAAGCAGGCTCCACACACAGCGCAGAGTCACCATGGGGCTCGATCCCACGACCCCGGGAACATGACCAGAGCCAAAATCAAGGGTCAGACACTCAACCAACTGAGCCAGCCAGGCACTCCAGACTTTTAGTTTTTTTAATCACTGTCTGACAGGTACTCCTGGTACTGGCTTCAAGGAGATAAAAGTAATGTCCTAGGTATTTTATACCAGAATCCCCCAAAATTTCAATGGGATAGCTGGAGTTTTGTCCAAAATAAACAAAGCAGTAACTAGGGCACTTAGATGCATGGCTCTCTTCGTGTTGTCTTGTATGGCCAATATTATCTTCAGTGCTCTTTCTGGCTTAACTTCCTTTGCTTTCTAAAAATCTATTTAAATGTGTTGCTCTGCATGTGTAGGCAAGCTTATCAGCTATACTCCAAATAACTCAAAGTCAGCAAGCCCATGTTACTTACTAGGGCTAGCTGGAGATGTTACTAATTCTTAGTTCACCGCTTTTCCTTTACAGCATCTATCTCCTCTGCACTATGCACAGCAGTATTTGCTGCATGTCTAGCTTCTCTATTCCACAAACTCTTCCCCGCCCTCAGCTCCTCCCTTTGTATTCTAAAAGAGCACTGAAAATTATTTTAAAGTTTTCGTGATTCTCCAAAATTTCCTGAGTTTATCACAAAAAGCTTGAAAGGAGCTGACTCTTAATCCTTTTTGACACATATGGAAGATTCTTGCCTGTACTTAAAAGCCATGTCAAAGCTGATTTGCTTCACATGATTTGGACAAACAAATGGGTTAGATTTTTACCACAATGTAGACCTATTTTTAGAGTCAAGTACCAACTCCACTTCAACACAGAGGGATGCACCTACTTTATGTGGAAATGTGGTGGTTTTGTGGCCTAGACAAGTTTTCATTCAAATGACTAACCTTCTTACGTAAGTTAGTCGTGGGTGACCTAAACTGCCCACTATAATTTAATCTGAACAGCAATTTTGTGATCTATACTAAGCAAGAAGACATTGATAGACTCCATAAAAATTAGAATACAGGATCCTATATTTATAGCAGAATGCAGGCTTCTTGACAAAATATAAATCTGTATCAGCACTGAATTTAAGAAAACCTAAATTCCCTTCCCTGTGTCACCCTGAGGAACTCTCTCAAAGTCACTGATGTTCTCCCTTTCTCCAATCCTGGACCTTGTTTCTAGTTTCTTCATGTTACTGAGAAACAGGACAATGTTTCACACAGCATTTTGGAACCCCAAACTATTCTTCCCCAGTGCGTCAGATAGAATGAAGGAGGGAGCAATACTGCTGTGTTTAAAAATGTTCTGTCTTAATGATGAGATTGGTTAGCCCTGTTAGAAATTTTATAGTTTCACATTTATTATCTAGTACCCACTTCTCTTTTTATCATACTGTAAGACTGTATACTAAGGAAGGAAACAAGAAAGAAGTTAGAATAAGTGAAATAAGTGATTTGGGTTTTGGTTTTTTTTTGTTTGTTTGTTTTTGTTTCTTTAGCACTTCTGGATTAAGGTTTGAAAAGATATTTTAAATAATAAGATAAAATAAGATTTTAAAATAATCTATAGATTTAATTTACTCAGTTGAACATATCCTCGTTTCCATGGTTAAAAGATTTAACAGTACACTTGTAAAACCTACACAAGACAAGCTCACCTTAACAACACTACACACCAATCAATCAACCTTTCTCTCTCTTTCTCCCTGCTCTTTTCCTTCACTCCCCCTCTTCCTCCTGACTCTAATAACATACTTCTAACTTCTGGCTTCCAATTATATTAGAAAATTCACTAGAGAAAAGGGTAACATAGAATTAAAAATAAGAATCTTAATAGCAAAACTGAAACAAAAATTGCTTTGCTGCCCCAGTCCTATAAGGATACTAAGGGCACTGGATGCTGGATTTATTATAAAAATTGAATAATTTCAGAAGCATTAAACACCATCTGGGGTTACTCAATGGGTCCCTTTGAAAAGTACATCTCGAAGACTGGCTACTGTCATGTGGACTAGTAATTCTAATGTTGGGGCATAAATCTTTATAAATCAGTTATAAAGATTCTCTTGATAAACTGACACTTTTGTCATTATATAATGACATTTTTTGTTTCCTGTTACCATTTTTGGTCCACAGTCTATCATCTAATGTAAGTATAGTTACCCCTGCTGGTTTTTGGTTTGCATTTGCATAGAATATATTTTTTCCATCCTTTCACTTTGAGTATAGGTGTGCCCTTAAAGCTGATGTAAGACTCTTGTAGGAAGGATATATATAGTTAGGTCTTGTTTTATCTATTCAACTACTCTATAATCTTTGGATGTGAGAATTTACTCCATTTATATTTAAAACAACTATTGTTAGGTAAGGACTAACAAATTAGTATTTAATACAAATTAGGATTGTAATTTTAATTGTTTGCTATTATGAAATTCTTGTGTACCTCTCTTGAATTATTCCATTCTGATTTGATCATTTTCTTTTTTTTTTTTTTTTTTTTTACATTTTTTGNTCATTTTCTTTTTTTTTTTTTTTTTTTTTACATTTTTTGCAATTTTTTTAAATGTTTATTTATTGGGGGAGGGGGCACAAAGAGTGAGGAAAACAGAGAATCCCAAGCAGCCTCCAGGCTTTATGAGAGCTCAGAGCCTGAAGCGGGACTCAAATCTACAAACTGCAAGATCATGACCTGAGCCAAAGTCAGACGCTTAACTGACTGAGGCACTCCATTGCCCCGATTTGATCATTGTCTGTAGTGGTATGCTTTGATTCCTTTCTCTTTATCGTTTGTGTATCTATTAAGAAGTTTTTGCTTTGTGATTACCATGAGGCTTACATTAAATATTTTATAGTTATAACAGTCTATTTTTAACGGATGAAAATTTAACCATGGGGGAGAAGCGGGAAGTTGGGGAGAGGAAGGGAGACAAACCATGAGAGACTCTTGAATGCTGAGAACAAACTGAGGGTTGATGGGGGTGGGGAAGAGGGGAACGGGGGTGAGGGGCATGAGGGAAGGCACTTGTTGGGATGAGCACTGGGTGTTACATGGAAACCAACTTAACAATAAACAGTGAAAGGAAAAAGAAAAGGAAATTAATATGAACACACCTGTACAACAACAGTTAAGATTTCCCATTATTGCGAGCTCTCAACGACACTTCTCCCTTCTGTCTCTGAATGCTCACAGTGTGAGTACTGGATGGGCAAGCAAGGTGCGCCTCATAATAGCTCCATGGTGATGGGTCATTCTAGACCTTTCAGAGTCAATCACTACCCTCTGCCCACTGTGGGCCCATGTGCTGCTGTGGAGACTAGTATGTGTCTCCACGGGCAACTGCGGTATTTACAAGGACCAATGTTCGTTTCACAAACAAAATCCCAGGCCCAATCACTGTTACTGTCGGTATATAAATTATTTCCAGTATGGTATTTTTATTTTTTGAAATATTTATTATTTATTTATTGAAGAAAATTAAAGACACTGCTGAAATAACTGCAGCACAGAGTTCTCCTACATTTTTTCCCTTATTTTATAGTGGATTCACCAGATTAAGAGAAATTACTCATAAGCAACTGCCCTTAACTGAGCCCTCCCAAAATATTACAATTTAACTTAATGGAATCAACTTTTTGTACCCATATTTCATTAATTTATAAATCATTAAAAAAGAATGCAGTTACAACAACACGAACAAACTGGCAGGTTTGGAAGCAAACATCACTCATTCTTGGTAACCTTCCAACCTCAGTGAAGGGTACAGAAGGGAGTGGGCTTGTTGGAAGGCAGCCCTCCGGCCCCAAATGTCCAGCACGCTCTCAGCAACATTCAAAAAGTTTCACAGAAGAAATGTGGAACATTGTGGAACGTTGTGGAACTCAGCGTAGTGGTTAATACAGCCAAGTCTTTTATAAGATACTTTAGATATTTCACTAAAGTTACTCATTTAAGATAAACAAAGACGCGGGGCACCTGGGTGGCTTAGTCAGTTAAGCGTCCGACTTCGGCTCAGGTCATGATCTCATGGTTTGTAGGTTCGAGCCCCGTGTCGGGCTCTGTGCTGACAGCTCAGAGCCTGAAGTCTGCTTCAGATTCTGTGCCTCCCTCTCTCTCTCTGCCCCTCCCCGGCTCACTCTCTGGCTCTCAAAATAAAATACACAAAAAAAATTTTTTTAAAAGATATACAAAGACTCTTGAATTACTGAAATACAATAATTTGTTTTTTCTTTTGAAAACTCAAACAAAAGCACTGTGTGAATCACTCATCTAATTGATTTTAAAAGCCAATAGCAAAAGTCATGTTAATCATAATGAAAACTTTAAATGAATATATTGTGATGTAAAATTCAATCAACCTTAATCAAAAATAAGATTAAGGAAAAGGATTCTAAGATCATAACATCTGTCATTACATTTCTCCTTTCCCTAAAACTGGGGAGGAAAAACAAGCAAACTTTACTATCATACCCATTTTCTAAAGAACACCTGTCTTTGTTTGTTTGTTTGTTTTTTTAAGTTTATTTATTGGGGAAGAGGTGGGGACAGAGGGAGAGAGAGAATCTCAAGGTGATTCCAAAAGAGCTCAAACTCCGGAATCCAGAATGAAAGGACTCAAACTCAGGAACCACGAGATCATGACCTGAACCGAATTCAAGAGTCAGCTGCTTAACTGACTGAGCTACCGAGGTGCCTCAACTGTCCTTTACACATCTTTCTTTCGTTTACTACCATGTCATCTTTCATATTCAGGTTTAAATTTCTACCTGACAAATGACGTTTTTCATGTCACTATTTAACACAATACTGAGCAGAAGTCTTAATGAGAACTCTAAAAATGTAACAGAAGATTGTAGGGGAAGATAAAGCTAGGAACATGTTCAGACAAGACAAAAGACACCAAATGTTCTTGGATCTCCAAATGTGCTAAAACAACTATTATCAAATTTATTTTTAAAATAACAAAATTGATGTCTATTATGAAGGCAAAACAAACCTCACAATTTAGGCAATTTGTAAGAACACGAAGTCTAAAATAGAAGATTTTTTCTTCAGTAACTCAAACCACTAAGGCTGTTCATGAATATACTTTATACTCTAAAGTCTAAAAGGCAACATAATGGTTATAAACAAACACTATCTGTGATATCAAAACATGTACAAGTTACCTGGGTAGACAGACATTTCTCTTAAAACAGCTTTGCTGAAATACAATTCACACAGAATAAAATGCACCCATTTACAGTGTACAATCCAGTGGTTTGCAGTATATTCTTGGATCTGTGCAGTTATGGTCTTTCTTGATTTTAGAACATTTTCATCACCTCAGAAAGGAGTTTTGTCATTCTTTAACTATCACTCTCAAATCTCATCCCCCTCAGCCCTAAGGGACAACTAATCTCCTTTCTGTCTCCATGTATTTCCGTATTCTGAATATCTGATATGAACAGAATCGTATCATCCGAGGGTTTCTTCTGTTACATTGTATTTTTCTGTTATTTCTTTCATTTTTTTTAATGTTTATTTATTTTTGAAAGGGAGAGGGACATAGTGCAAGTGGAGAGGGGCAGAGATGAAAGGGGGACACAGATTCTAGAGCAGGCTCCAGGCTGTGAGCTGTCCGCACAGAGCCTGATGAGGGGCTCAAACTCACAAACCACGATCATGACCTGAGCCGAAGTCAAGACGCTAAACCAACTGAGCCACCCTGGCACCACTGTGTGACATTTTAAAAACCCATTCATGGGGCACCTGGGTGGCTCAGTCGGTTAAGTGTACGACTTCAGCTCAGGTCATGATCTCACAGTTCGTGGGTTCGAGCCCCACATTGGGCTCTGTGCTGACAGCTAGCTCAGAGCCTGGAGCCTGTCTTCCAATTCTGTATCTCCACCCCCCCACCCCACCCCCGACCCTCTCCTGCTCACACTGTCTCTATCTCTCTCTAAAAATAAATAAAACATTAAAAAAATTTTTTAAAGCCTCATTCATGTTGTAGCATCCGTTAGTACACCATTGTATGGATCTACCACTTTGAGTTACCAATGCTCAGTTATTACACACTTGAGCGGTTTCCAACCTTTCAATATCAGTAATGCTGCTATAAACATTTGTGTACAAGTTTTTATGTTCACCTATGTTTTCATTTATCTTGGGTAGTTATCTAGAAGTATAACTGTGGAGTTATACAGTAATTCTGTTTAATTGTTTGAGGACCCGCCAGGTCATTTTCCAAAGCACCTGTACCATTTTACATCTTTACCAGCAATTTATAAGGGCTCCAATTTCTCTATATCCTTATCAATATTAATCATATCTGACTTTTTCTTCCAGCCATTCTAATACGTATGAAGTGGTATCTCATTGTGGAATGTTTTTCCACTTCAATGAATTATAGTTGACAAATAAACTTCTATTATATTTAAACTGTACAACATGATCATTTGATAAATGTGTCCTGGTAAAAGGATTCTATCAAGTTAATTAACACAGCTATCACATCCCATATTTACCTGTTTTCAATGAGAACACCTGAATTCTATTCTCTTAGAAAATTTCAATTATACAGCATTATCAACTATAGTTACCAGGGTACACACAGTAGATCCTCAGCCCTTATTCATATTATAACTGAAAGTTTATATGCTTTGATCAATCTCTATTTCTAATCAACCCTAAACCCTACAAACCATAATTCTACTCTGTGTTTCTAGGACTTCACTGTGTGGGGTTTTTTTTTATTATATTCCACATATAAGTGATATCATGTAACATTAGCCTTTCTCTGTCTGAATTTTTTCACTTAACATAATTTCCTCCAGGTTTATCCATATTGCAAATGGCCAAGATTTCCTTCTTATTTAGAGTTGAAAATTTTTCCATTATACGTATTTTAAAAATCATATGTATAATAAATATTATTTATTTATTTATTTTATTTAGGGAGGCAAACCATGAGACACTCTTGAATGCTGAGAATAAACAGGGCTGGTGGGGGTAAGGGAGAGGGGAAGGGGGGTGATGGGCATGGAGGAGGGCACTTGTTGGGATGAGCACTGCGTGTTACATGGAAACCAACTTAACAATAAACTATGGAAGGAAAAAGAAAAGGAAATTAATATGAACACACCTGTACAACAACAGTTAAGCTTTCCCATTATTGCGAGCTCTCAACGACACTTCTCCCCTCTGTCTCTGAATGCTCACAGTGTGAGTACTGGACGGGCAAGCAAGGTGCACCTCATACCAGCTCCATGGTGATGGGTCATTCTAGACCCTTCAGAGTCAATCACCACCCTCTGCCCACTGTGGGCCCACGTGCTGCTGTGGAGACTAGTGTGTGTCTCCATAGGCAATTGCGGTATTTACAAGGACTCATGTTCGTTTCACAAACAAAATCCCAGGCCCACTCGCTGTTACTGCCGGTATATAAAAATATAGAGGGGAAAATATCATCTGCAAGTTCAAATAGAGTTGACTGTAAAAATTCCAGTGTGAAAGGTGTTAAAGCTAGCATGGTAAAAATAGAGAGAAGATCTAGCCTTAATTTTAAAAACAAACAAACAAACAAACAAACAAACAGATGAGAATTTAACCTGGAATGAGTACTAATGTTCTCTATGTTTCGATTTCATATTTTTGATGTCATAATTTACATCTTTTTATACTATGTTTCCATTAACAAAGAATTGCAGGCTTAGTGCTTTTTAAACTTTTCTCTCTTAACTTTTAAACTAGAAGTTCTAGTAGTTATGTTTTAGATTCATAAGTGACTTTACCCATTGTCATCACTATATTCTGAATTCAACTATATATTTACCTCTAAGAGTGAGTTTTATACTATCATATATTTCCACGTTACTAGCGTCTTTTTCATTTCAGCCTGAAGTCAGTCTGGTGGTGATAAATGTCTTCAGTTATCCCACCTCCCCCAACCCCCAACCCCACCCTGGTATGGAAACCCTTTATTTCTCCTATAGTTCTGAAGAACAATTTTGCTGGGTAGAGGGACCTTGACAGTGTTTTTCTTTTAGCACTTAGAATGTATCATCCCACATCCTGCTGGCTGGCAAGGTTTCTGCTGAAAATCTTATGATGGTTCCATTGTATGTAACAAGTTGCTTTTCTCTTGCTGCTTTAAAATTTTTCCTCTCTAA